GGAAGTGCACTGCGCAGGGACTGCGAAGACTGCATGCCCATGGGGTGCCTAGCCATGGCAAATGCCCTGCCTGGCGAGCGCCTGATGACTGCGATTCTTGGGAGGTGAGACGCCTCAACAGCATTGCTGATAATGCTTGCACTAGGCAGTTAAAATGCACTGAGCGACAGTGGCTGCGTGATGTTGAGACCTTTCAAGAGGCCACTGCTTGGACGAGGACTGCTCTACAGCGTTCCATGGTCGTTTCGAAGCCTTACTCGGACCATGCTGCAGAGCATTATGGGCGGTTTCGGGCTCAGTTTGCGTTGTGATCTGTGTTCTGCATGGTGGCGTTCCGTTCCGCGATTGGCGCCTCAGCTCCTTTTTCTGCATTTTTCGAGCTTTGCAAGCGGATCATGGCAACGTGCTGCTGATGACTGCTCGTCTACGGCGGCTTTCTGCCTTTGACTTGGTGGCGCCTTTTCTTGACGTCTAACCGCACTTCTTCTACTTACAGCACAGGTTGGCGTCCTACCGTTACAATCGTTACAATTGACCTTTTCAACCGTGCTTGGTGTGTCGCCGAGGTGGCAGAAGCCAAGCGTTTACGAATGCCCATGGCGCTGAAAGTTTCATCTAGAGCAACCATAATGAAATGTGCACATGCTTTGGAAAACTTGGATGTTCGGAGCATGCGAGCATCCTCCGAAACAGACAAAGAACTCATCCTCGACAAGATCCGAAGCAGCACAGACGTCGATCACTTCAACGCGGAGCTACAATCACTGATTTTGATCCGCAGTCTGGCTTGCTCGCATCCTGGACTGCTATGGACAGCCTGCAGCGAATTGCGGAAGTGGGCAGGCTCATTCGTTGGGGGCTTGCTGATGCAGGCACCGGGAAGGTTTGGAGAGCATGGGAAACCCAAGAATGATTCTTTTGTGCAGCTTACGCAGGTTTTTGCATGCTCACATCGCATGCTAGGCTTTTTTTGTCGCAAGACCGACATGATTTCGCCTGGCATATCACTTCAAGTGATTCGTAGGCGAGACGCATCATAGAGGTGCCGTGCGAGGGCGTGTGCTAGTGCTGCGTCGCAACTCTCCCCACTTAGCTCCTAACCTCTACCCGTCTGTTGTAGCTAGATTTGGGATTTGATCTTCTTCGAGACACCCATGAGAGCGAAGCCGGAAAGTTGCCGTGCAAAACTGGCCTGTACAGCTTGGGTCTTTGATTCGACTTTCCACACGCCCATATTGGCCAAAAAGCTGGATTTGGCTGCGGGTTGTCGTCGCATTGACTAATCTGGCTCAACTTCTGAGGTAGCGAAACGGCCAGCTGTTCCTTGTGACACCTGAGGAACATGATCGTGAACTTCGCATACAATCGTGCGGTCTTTGACGGCTTCGCCCAAGAGAGGCCATCAGGCTGGATCCAAATGGCTTGCAATCCGAGTAACTAATGAAACATCTCGCACGGCTGTTGCTGATCCTGTTGCTGTTGGTGTTGCTTTAGTCGCTGTGTCTCTACTGCTACAGGGTCGTAGTTCTGCTGGTCGTCGGGGCTGGTGGTGGCGGTGGCGGTGGCGGCGGCGGTGGAGTTGGCGGCGGTGGCAGCAGTGTCCGTTCCTTGCGTTGGTCAGCGGCTTGCGCCTGCTAATGGTTTGTCTCGGGTGTCATTTCGCCACGAAACTGAACAGAATCAGCAGCAAAAGTACTAATGTGACACAAGTGATCGTAGTCGTGGTACACTGTCGGTACAACTCCTGAAAGCCAGCGAAGACCATTCTCGTCTTCGTGGGCATGGGTTGAGGTTTAAGTCAACGGCACTTCCATGGCAGCAGCACCGTCCTAAACGTGCCAACATGATCCAACATGCATGAATACAAGAACGGAAAGGGGGAGGGAGTTTGCCGATGATCCCTAATCGGACGTTGAGTTGGATGGCTTACCACTGAACATGAGGAGGAGGACGATGGGCTGGCCAAGATCAAGATGATGGCAATGAGGACGATAGTGATGGTTGATGGTGAAGAGAAAGAGCAGTGCACTCTTTGTTTCTGACAGCGCTGTTGATGTAACTGCCGTGAACGGCCATTGTGATGATGGCAGAACTGGGCATGATCGTAGCTGACATCCTGATGGGCGTTCCTCGTCGCCAACATCACTATTTCCATCAGCGTCGCCGTCATCATCCCCGTCATCGTAATCTGTCATCACCTTCATGACTGCTTCTGGCCATCATGTCCTTCGTCGGGGGCCCACCGTCATCACAACGATCTTCACTGCCATCACCATCAGTACCAGTTTGGGTATAAGATCTGATTTTTTTGGGCAGCTGCTGGATAATGGTGATGATGATGGTGTTCGGGTGGCGATGACGGCGAGGCTGCAATGGTGCTGATCGCGGCTATAGAGATTTTCAGGTCCATGGTGAAGTTGTGGAAGGCCACGGCCTACACAGATTTCATATGTCGCAGTCGCATCGGGAACATCCAAGATGCCCCGTTTCAAAGGCCTCGACATCAGAATCAGAATCCGGAAATTCCGGAAAGCCTAGACCCTAAACCCTGAACCCTAACCCTGAATCCCTTGACCTCAAGAAGCCCTGAATTGCCTTAAATCCTATGGTCCACAATCACTCAGCAACCCTGTAGAAATCCTCGAAGAACCCTTCACAGCGCCTTTACGGACCTTTATAAAGCCCCGTTGTTGAGCCCTATAAAACTCGATGAAAACCCCGTGGAGCCCTATTCAATCGTAGAAGGCACATAAACTTGCTATAAACAACCTTAGTTACTCAGCTAAACAGGTTGCGAAAAGGTTATGAGCAGTCATTATACCCTAAACTTTCAGCCCTAAACCTTAAACACTACACTATAGCCACGACGAGTTCGTTGTCCACGCCGCTCAGGGTTCCCTTCCAGGCTGTCCGAGCAATCCTTTGATCAATGGGTTGAAGGGTCTCTGCAGAAGGATGTGATTCTGCAAGTCTATGGACAGGTGTGGCTGGACATCTTTCGCAGGTGGCAGACACGGGGTCTGGAAGCAGTCAGGGTCGCACTTGATGGTTATGTGGACTGGCAGGACGAGGGTGAGGGTACGGATACTGCCCAACGTGGTCAGCCAACACACCGAGCATCGGGGCACATACCTTCTGCTAATCGCGGATTCCGGAGGCTAAGACAAGCGGACGGAAAAGGGTGTTCTAAAAAAGAGCCCTAAACGTTCCCATACAGCCCGACGGGAGGGGCCCGACTTCTGCGCACCGCTGGCCTCCAGCTCTTGCGTGCTCCGGCCATGGTTGCAATCTGGGCTCCTTGGAAACAGGAGTTTTGAAAGGATTCGCTTTGGGATTCCTACAAGGGCTGCTTGAAGGGTTCTATAAGGTTTGGTGTTGGATGATTTTTTTGAGAAGTGGGGGGGAGCATTTGGTTCGATCGGATTCCTTCGCGGGTTTGTGGGTTTAGGGTTCTATACGGGCTCGAAGCGCGTTGTAACAGGGCTCTATAAGGACTCTATGCATGGTGTTGGGGCGCCTGGTTTAGAGTTTAGGATTTCAGGGTTTGGGGTTGGAGCGTTAAGATGCTTGGGGATCAGGATTTTATGGCAGATCTGGAAGCCAGGTCAGCTTCAGTGTTCGAGGTTGAGGTTTGAGTTTCAAGGTTCTGGGCTTGGGATGTTAAGTTATATGGAAGTCCGAGTCACTGGTCATAGTATCCTTTATAATCCCGACATATTCACACATGATGGCACAGTTCTACAACCTATAGCAAAGCCCTATTCTGGTCATGAAAGCCCCTATACTTGGAACCAGCATGAAAGCCCCGCAACCCAGGTTGGGCTCGTCCTGCGCCAGCTTGCCTTGCCCATGCCATCATTAGTCGACGACACCTTGGCCGAGCTGGGCCACGCAAACAAGGCCAAGCGCACAAAGTAGACTTGGGGTTTCAGGGTCTAGGGATCCTACTTCTATGCGTAAGTGTGGAGTCATCAATTGAAATCCGTAGCCTCCCATAATCAACCCTCGTGAGGCAAACAGCCCTCAAAGCTTAAACTCACACCAAGAAATGCAAAATTCGGAGACCAGAAGCAATCAACCTCCTTTTCCCTCTTTGCGCGAAAGCCGTCAACCCTAAAACCCCAACTAGCCGCACAAAAAAAGCAACCCCGATTCCCCCCTTCCCCAAAACAAACTCTAAAACATCTGGAATCATTTAAAAACCCCCTGCAAAATCGTTCCCAGAGCACACCCTAACCCCTAAACCATCCCGAAAACCTTGAACAAAACCTCACGGCATCCCAAACCCTAAACGAAAATCCCTAACACCGCTGCTTGCCCTTAGGTTCTGGTCATGATGGGTTTGGGCATCCTCCTGAAACTCAGGCTTCCCAAGGCCCGGTAGTGGGCCCTTTCGGGCTCTGCTGGGCGTTGGATTTGGTGTTTAAGGCTTCTCAGTGCTAGTTTTGTGTTTTGGGGTTCATCATAGGTGCGTGCATGTAGTTATATATACATATGTCTGCATATGTACATCTGTATACATATAAGATATGTGTATATATATATATATATTCTATTCATAATGTACGCGTCTACATCACGATGCCTGCGTTACAATATGCATAACTGCTACAAGGCTCAGCGAAGACAGCTGGCAGAGCTCCTGTCTCTGCGCTCTGCGTTGGGTTTTGCTGCGGCAGCTGGCACCGCCGCTCTGGGACAGCGGCTGGGTCCCCTGGTTCTTCAAGAGCGGGATGGTTGTTGTTGACACCGAAATCCTAGAAGAGCCTCTACAGTGTGGGTTTCACGAAGAGCGTCTATTTCCCGAAAGCCTCAAGAGTGGGTGGCAGTTTAGTGACCAGGGGTTTACAGTGCAGCAAGCCAAGATAACCAAGCAGGTGCTGCGTCCCTGGTTCAGACGGTTTGCGTCATGGCGCTTTGCTGCCCTATCCCAGCAGTCTCCGTGCAGTTCGCGCTGGAGGCACAGACAGGTAACTGCTGCGAGTGACGGATGGGCTGATGGGTTCTTAGGATTTGGACTGTCTATCTCTCTGTCTATCTATATTTTCTGCATCTATATCTATACAGACATAGGCTTGGGCGTTTAGGAGGAACGTTTTTGCCCCCACGCCGGACCGAGGTGGGATGTGACAGTGCTTTGGCCGCCGCAGCAGCCAACCTGTCCAACCTTGTGGCCTTCCCGGTTCTGCTGCTTGGAAGCTGAGGATAATATTCAAGAACAGACCAAGTGAGCGATGGGAGGAATATGAAGAAATAAACTAATGATGCTTTTCCAAATTTCAACATGCTCATTATGTTATTGTTTTTGCCGGCGCAATTTCGTATAGTGACCACAGCCACTGTCCGCATCAGCAATATGATTCCCACCATGCATCTGTCTAATTGCTGCTTTGCCATCAGCAATGTTATCCTCCATTACGTTCAACTGGTTGTCTGCATAATACAGGTGCCTCAACAATTACCAATATTATTCCTTGGGGTTCCTCATTATAACTATACTATAGAGGACCCCAAAACAGTAGTTTATTATTAAGGCCCCTATAGGGGCGTTCATACTTAGAGTAGGGTTTTGGGCCCTTTATCGTATAGTTATCAGACGAAGCCCTAAGAAGTAATATTGGCAATCATTCAGGCTTCTATTTTAGGCTTATTATACTTTACTGATATTCATACAGGAGATCCACCTCCAGCCCAGCCCAGGGCCTAGAGGTAAGTGCAAGGGTAGGCCGTAAAAGGTTTCCTGTAAGGGTCCTGTAAGGGTTGCAGTGAGGGCTCCTATAAGCTATTCCCGAGACTGAGGATAATCGCTGATATTTCGAGTTCGATGTTTAAGTGTTGCACTTGTAGTTTCTGATAATATTCTCAGTAAGCTAGAATATTAAGTCATGCACGACCAGCATGTGTAGTTTGGGTGTACGAGTAGTGAACATAGGAGCACCCGACGGTACCAGAAGCCTCCATACCTGCATATGATAAGATGATTTGTGGCGTGCGACACAAAACATACATTGTAAGTATTGGTATCTCTGAGGTTTCCAGATTTCCATTGTAGTCTGATATATATTATATAATATATATATA